ATATATATATTCCAAAATCCATAAAAATCCAAAAATTGAAACACTTCTGGTCCAGAGCATTTTGGGTTAGGGATAGTCAGCCTGTATAAAATTGCCAGGGTTCCCCCAGAGCCTTGGAAGGGGCCAGGTAAATGAGGAATCCTGAAGCTATAAGCTGTATTAGCTCTAAGGTAAACCTTTACTGTATTTGACCAACATTTGTTGACATTTTGCCATATGCCAAAACTCCTCCTTATCCTGCAGGTTTCAGTTCAGATGTCACCTCTTCCAGGAAGCCCTCCCTCCATAGACGGGTCAGGGACTGCCTGTGCACCCACCGCCCTAACCCCCTCTGACCTACCTTAATCACCCTGGGCTGTCACTGTCTGTGTGTGGTATGTGTGTTTGGGGTGGTGGGGAGCAAGGAGTGAGGTTTGTATGTGACTGTCTGCTTCTGGAGGGTAGGGCCTGGTCTGATTCATCTCTGTGTCTCAGGGCCTGACATCAGGTACCTGACTAGTCACCAGACCCTAATGCAGGGCCTAGCACTTTACAATTTTCCTCTGAGGTTATTATAACAATGGCTGACACACATCAAAGGCTTTTTACATGCTACATATGGTGTTCAGTGTATAACATGGATCATCTTATTTAATTTTCACTTTACCACCTCTCTGAGCCTCAGTTTCCTCATCAGTAAAATGGAAATAATATTGCCGACTTCCAAGGTTGCTCTGAGTATTAAGAATTCATATATAAGCTGGGCACGGTGGCTCACACCTGTAATCCCAGCACTTTAGGAGGCCAAAGCAGGCGGACTGCATGAGCCCAGGAGTTTGAGAACAGCCTGGGCAACATGGTGAGACCGTGTCTCTACAGAAAAAAAAAAAAGCCAGGCCAGGTGTGGTGGCTCATGCCTGTAATCCCAGCAGTTTGGGAGGCTGAGGTGGGTGGATCAGCCTGAGGTCAGGAGTTTGAGACCAGGGCTGACCACATGGAGAACCCTGTCTCTAATAAATACAAAATTAGCAGGTGTGGTGGTGCATGCCTGTGATCCCAGCTACTTGGGAGGCTGAGGTAGAATAATCTTGAACCCGGGAGGTGGGAGGTTGCAGTGAATCAAAGATCGTACTATTGCACTCCAGCCTGGGAACAAGAGCGAAATTCCATCTCAGAAAAAAAAAAAAAAAAAAAAAAGCCCAGGCTGGGGTAGCGTAGTCCCGGCTACTCCAGAGTCTGAGGCAGGAGGATCAATTGAGCACAGGAGGTTGAGGCTGCAGTGAGCCGTGATGGTGCCACCGCACTCCAGCCTGCGTAACAGAGCAAGACTCTGTCTCAAAAAAAAATAAAGAAAATAGCAGAGTGCTATATAAATGCCCTGGTGATGGTTGTGGTGTACCACTAGACACTACTTTCCTCCCCATTTCACAGATGAAAAATGAGCTCAGTAAGGGAAGCAGAAGAGCTGCCTTTAGAGCTGGAACTCTCCCCGCACCACCACAGGGACAGTGATGCTGGAGCCACTCACCTGGTGAGTCAGCATATCAGAGTGGCCCACCCCTCAGGAGGGCCCCACCCAGGCCATTCCCGGCCCCCAGGAGCTCTGGCTCAGCCCCAGCGCAGGGTGGGGTCTGTGAGTCACCATCATCATTTCTGCCTCCCCAACTCAGGTGACCTTACTTGGATCACCTGTGTGTCCCCACCTTGAGGCGATGGGAGAGCATCCTGAGTCCTGGGTGCCTTCCTCCTGTCAGGAGACCTGTTTCCTGGTGTGTTACACCTGGGAGATACCGGGCCTGCTTTTCTCCCTCCTTTCCTCCCCAACATGCAAGAACAAATCACCAGCATCACCACACCTCTCAATGGCCCTGAGAACCTTCACAGACTGCTTTCACCTGTGCCATTGTCAACTTAAGAAGGCCCTTAATATGGCCAGGCGCAGTGGCTCATGCCTGTAATCCCAGCACTTTGGGAGGCTGAGGTGGGCAGATCACTTGAGGTCAAGAGTTCAAGAACAGCGTGGCCAACATGGTGAAACCCCGTCTCTACTAAAAATACAAAAAAAATTAGCCAGTGGTGGTGGTGGACACCTGCAATCCCAGCTACTCGGGAGGCTGAGGCTTGAACCCAGGAGGTGGAGCTTGCAGTGAGCCAAGATCACACCATTGCACTCCAGCCTAGGTGACAGAGAGAAACTCTTGTCTAAAAAAAAAAAAGAAGAAGGCCCTTAATAAATACCTATTAAGTGAGACCTCAGAATGCCCTAGAAAGTTTGTAATAGCATCACCTCCCATCCTACAGATGAGAAAATAGAGGCTTGGACAAACATCTAGCCATAGCTTGAACCCAGGTCTTGATTTCTTATTCTCTAGGGAAAAGGGGAAGAAGAGAAGAAAAGAGGGGTGTTTTAAGTGAGAGAGGTCATAGAAATGAGGGATGCAAGTGGTGACACATGATGCCATTGTTGCAGAAAGAGCTTAAGCCATGAAGTCAGCTCTGCCTGTACCTCTCAGAACCTCAGTTTTCCCATCTGTAAATCTGGGATAATAATCCCAAACTCTCAGGGATGCTGTGCGGATTACTGGGCATTATTTGGGTGACTCCTTCCCCCTTCTCAGCATCCATCCCAGCCCCTTCCTCCAGGCCTTTCCCTGGCATAAAGTGCCCCTCCCCAACACCTGCAGCCTCTGCCAGCCCAGATCCCCCCTCTTCAGACTCTAGAACCCTTCCTCTCCCACTGAACTAGTGACTATAAAGTAGATTTTCTTAAAGCTAGTGAGCCCCACCCTCGCAGGTTACAGGCTTGGGCTCGTCAGCAGTTCTCAAGTGAACAGGCCCATCAACAAAGGGCCTTCGGAGGGCTGTGACAGGGACAGATCTTAAATATTTTCTGGCAAGGGCCTTTAAGGAAGGATCTATTCCTGCTCCTTGGGCAGGCATGGGCTCTGTCCCCCACTAGCTATGTGACCTTTTGCAAGTCACTGCCTCATTCTGGGGCAGTTCCTCTTCCCACCAGATATAAAGGGGAGAGAAATTTGGGCCAAGAATTCAAGGGCTCTCCCTGCTCTGAGGGTCTGTGTTCTAGGATCTGGGCTCTTCTACCCAAGTCTGGTCTCGAGGAGCTGCTGAGGGTAGGTCTAAGGAAGGAGCCTGGGTTAGCACAAGGGACCAAGAACAGCTCTAACTGAAAAAAGGTCAGAGCTCTAATGAGGGGTTTCCAGCATTGAGTGGCATCCTTTCAGGGGTCAGAACTTGGGATGCAGAGCCAAGAAGATCTGGATGGACTCCTGGCCCCCTATGTCCTAGCTGAGCAGTCCCAAGGAACTCATCCAATTAGACAGTAGTTCAGAGAGCAGGTTTGAAAGCCAGGGCTTGCACCTGGCACCCTGGGCCAGCAACCTCGTTTCTGAAATGGGGATGATGATGGCACCAACCTCATTAGGTTGTTACAAGGATTAAATGAGCTACATATCTTTAGGGCAGATGAGCTACCTGACACACTGCAGGTGGGAATAGAAATTGGCTCCATCTGCCTGTAATCC